TAGTTCTGTAAATATTATACGAATATTACTCTTTTTCTTAAATAACGTATATGGTTAAATTTAATAGTCTATGAACATTAATTAAGAGACAGTTAAAAGGTTGGCAAAAGTAACATTTTAGATTGACTCATTATGAGTTATAACGGTATCTTCAGACTAATTAATCCTCATTCCAGCATAATTAGAAGAGTACATAAAGAGTATTAATTATTATTTTCATATTTTATTTGATATTAGTTTACCGAACTTTTCTGCTGAAAATATAAAAATCAGTCTTTATTTTCACAGAATTTTTATCCTTTTGACCTTCAAATCCCAAGGATAGCATCTAGAGGTTCTCAATTGTTAAATTTTTTACTTCTGCTGACCTCTAGATATTTCTATGATATGATGTGAGCTCACTACCGTCTCATGTATCAGAAATGTTTTCGAGATGGGAATGTTTGGGGAGGGGGGACGGTTAGGAAATGTTTTGAATATGTAGTTACATCCCTATAATTGCGATGCTTAAAGCACACTAAATTTGTGCAAACTTATATTTTATTATTTAAGGTCACTTATGAATCGAATATCATAATACACTTTTATTTAATTTTAAAAATATAAAATAACATTATTGTATCCTATATTTTAATATTTACACAAAGAATCGACTTTACTTTGATAAATTGTATCAAATATTTTAAATTATATGTTTTATTAGTAAAAACTAAAAAAAGTCAAATAATTTTTATACATTGTTACCATGTTCATTTTGAGATCGCTGCGTCAGCGACGAGCGGTCAAAATTAAAGGCACCAATACGGAATGCAAAAGAAAAAATAAAAGATGAGGTGAAGGGATCTGTGTGTTTCTTGTCGTTGGGAAGAGAGGAGAACATATGAACAAGGTTGCTGTTTGGTTTAGCGACACTGGAACCACCGAATTCCTTTCATTATTTTTCCGCTGCGTCTTCTGTTATACACTCCGACGACCAGTAAAGAAGAAAATCATGACTAATTTTCAGTCGCTGATGCCAGTCGTAGAGATCTCAAAACGAACATGGCCTGTCTTATTATTTTTTTTAAAACGACTAGTTAAAAAACATTTGAGTAGAATTGTTAATTTTATAATATTCAAAAAATAAAAAATAAAACCTTGAGAAATTTTAAAGATTTTTGAAAATTCAAGTAATAAGAAATTTTAAAGTTATAAAAAATTATTATTTGATTTTTTTAAAAAATTTAAGATTTCTCAAGGTTTGAATTCTTCCTTTTCAGTATTATAAATTTAAAAACTTTTACTTGAATATTTTTAAAAATTCTACTTTTTTAGTTTTAGAAAATTATGAAACTAATAGTAGAATATATTTTAGTTTAAGAAAGATTAAAAGGTAATTATTTGAACATGTAAAATTTTTTCTAAAAAGGATTACAATTTATTTTAAAATATTTCTTTATGATTTATATTTATTTGTAATTTATTGTTAGAAAAACCGACACCTTTTTACCTGTTAATGAACAGTTTTTTTATCTTAAAGAGAAATTATTATTGGATCTTAAAAGACTCATGGGGATCGATGGGGCGAGCATGGTTACTACAGAATCTGCTTGGACATCGTAATTGACATGTGGTATGGACACAATGGTATACATACGCTAACGAGGTCATGGCTATCTCTTTGTACCGAGAGATTTAAAACATATCAACAGTAATCAATTTGTGAACTCTTAAGATAACAGAAATATTACTTTGTTTTATTTATATTATATGTGAGGCTTGTGAGCAATAGAAAAGACATATGCATTACTTTCATTTTGGCTGTCTTTTTCAATACAAGAACTAATTTTTGTTCCACTTGGGTATATCCTCCACACAACATACTCACTAGAAATAAGTTCCATTGGGGTATCGTGGGGCTCTTTATATATGTCGAACCAATGCCTTCCATTTGGCAAATCAAAGTAACAGAAAAACAATGACCTTCCGGAGAAATTTGGCTCAAAATGAAATGACCACATCCCACCGGGTATCAAACTCTGGTCACCTAAATCAATGTCCTTTGATTTACAATGAAAATGAATTGTACTACCAACATCGTTGAAGATTTTTACTTTTTTTCTTGAGCATGTGATAGATCTGTAATTACAAAGATAATCAATATGAAAAGTGATAGGTATCGTATTTGGAATATCCATTTTTGTGGTATAATAGAGTGTTTGAGCTAACATGTTGTTTGTAATTGTTGAATGAGTTATATATACAGAAGTACTAATGTATTGTAACGCAGAGTTTACGATCATATATTTTTAGTTCTGTAAATATTATACGAATATTACTTCTTTTTCTTAAATAACGTATATGGTTAAATTTAATAGTCTAGAATAACGGATTATCCTTACACCGCCACTGATGATAACATATGCAGCAATTCCGACAAGGTAAAAAACTGCTCATCATACCTGATGTAGTTAGCTTAATTGGAAAAGCACCCTAGACAGAGGTTACATGGTTGAATGGCCCTTGCGTATGGTTTTGAGCTTAAGAGATTATGGGTTTCGTCCTAGAATATCTGGTATTAAAAAAACCCGTTAATCATAACAACAATGATCTATTATTCTTTAGGAATTTTTTATTTTTATGTCAAACTAACTCAAAATCGACCCTATGACCCTTTAAACCTCTACTAAGACGTCAAAGAGGTTTTAGACACAAGGCTAGTGGTATGCTTGCTTTGTAGTTTTGATTAGTGGCTCATGGGTTACCAACTTATCCTCTGTTTTGTTCCTGCAGAAGAACACTCGTGTTGTTACAATCGATGGTTTTGAGGATGTTCCTGAAAACGATGAGAGGTCTTTGAAGAAGGCCCTTGCTCATCAACCAATAAGTGTTGCAATTGACAGTATAAGAAAACAATTTTTTAACTAGGAATATTAACTAGAAAAATGTTTCCTCGTTACGGCGATATTACGAAGACTTTATGAGGAAACAATGATTCTACATATTTTCCTCGTAAAGTGTCGAGAAAAGAGTTTCCTCGTAAAGTCCTAGTAATTTTACCAGGAAACTATGTGGCTTTTTTGATTTCCTCGTAAAGTCGACGTAAGGTTAACTAGGAGTTAACGAGAAAATATTAAACTGCGATTTAGCTAGGAAATTGCGAGGCTTTGTTTATTTTAAATTTTAAAACGTGTATTCTAACAGCTTTCCCTCGTAAATTCCTAATAAATGTTTATCTACCAAATCAAAAATTTCTATAAATACGACCATTTATGATTCATTTCAAACACACCAAAACAAAATCAGCTATCAACTTGAAAGGAAAAAAAATGTCGACTGCTCAGCTGCGTTCGGAGTTGGACACAATGCGTTCTGATTTGAGCACGACGCAAGCTCAAATGGGTTCGCTCGAAGGTTTTCTGGATATTTTGACAGCTGAAAATTCGCAATTGGAGATGATGTTGCGTGCCAGGCGGGAACAACTAGGGATTCCACCCACCGCCACAGCCACAGCCACAGCTAACCCGTCAGGAGGAGGACGACGAGGTATAGAGGAGTGAAGACTTCATCCGGCAGTGTCACGAGCAACACCCGTAGTTCATTATAAATTTAAAACTTAAATATTTCTGCATATATTATTTTTCTTCTATTATTTGAATTTTAAATTTTAAATTTTAAACTTTTAAGACATAATTTATTTATATATTTTGATTATTATTTATAATTTAGGAAAAATAAGGTTTCCAACTAAATTCCTCGTAAATCTACAAAGATTTTACGAGAAAAAGTTTATGTGGCATTAACGAAGAAAAGCATTACAAAGTTTTTACGAGGAAATCTTACGTGGCTTTAACGAGGAAACCGTTACAAGGACTTTACGAGGAAAGTCTTACGTGGCTTTAACGAGGAAAACTTTACGAAGCTTTTACGAGGAAACACTATAGACGACTTTACGAGGAAACTTTTCCTTGTTAATTAACGAGAAAAGAGCAAGGAAAATTGAGTTAAGACAAACATGTCACAAGAATTTACGTTTACTCGTTTTTTCCTCGTATCTCTATAATATTATTTGAGAAGTCAGTTTCCTATGTGTGGCGCTTACATTAACTCTCACGTTGGTTGATTACACTGGGTACCCTTAATAAATTAAAAATATTACATTTAAATGATTTCATTAAAAAGGAAAGTTCATAAAATAGAAATATTTCATTTAAAAATATTTAAATAACATAAATTATTGCTTTGAAGTAGTAAAATATGTCTTTATAGCTATATTTTCATAGATGAATATATATATATATATATATATATATATATATATATATATATATATATATATATATATATATATAT